AGATTTTGTCAGAAATCCATGCGATGCATTTACATGCACTTAATCTGATAACTACAGAACAATCAGATTTTGTCAGAAATCCATGCGATGCATTTACATGCACTTGGGATCATCAGATAATAGGGAAACTCCAGGTTCACACAAGTCAGGCAGTAATCGGAGTTCTGCTTTGCAAACTCAAAAACTAAGCTGACAAACATAATGCAATATAAAAAATTCTTCATTTCGACAAGCATGTATTTGGTTTCAGTGTCATTTTGTTGTTTCCGCCCACACGTACACTGAGAAAAATGAAAGAAATCAGAGTAACATTTCTTTCATTGCAAACATTACTGAGCTCAAAACCAGTTCTTTTTATCACATTTCTTAATCTGATTCTTTGCCGTCAATCCAATCTACGACATCTATATCTAATTTGCTCAGCTGCCACACAGACGCTCTAATAATGCTGGGACGGTGTTAAAACCATGATGATTGCTCAGGCACTTCCACAAGTGGCACTGAAGCCAAGTGCCGACCAGTTCTGGTACAGTGCGGAAAGAATTAGACACAGAATGAATAGAACACAGCAGACTGAGTAGAAATTCTGGATCTTCAACGCTGCTATGCAATGGACCACATCTTCAGAGGACAAACATAGACCCAATCCCATTTCTTATTTTTACCTCTATCCCTTGTTTTCGAGTGTTGCCCCTTGGGACTGAGTTATGAGGGGTAGTGGTTAAAATCTTAAGGGTTTACATGCACTGAAAAAAACATGACCGAGCTCAAAACCAGCTCTTTTTATCAGATTTCTTAATCTAATTCTTCGCTCTCAATCCAATCTATGACATCCAGGTATGCTGTTGGCTGATCGATGGATAAATCGGCGTGTCAAAATGAGCTAATTGTAGTATTGCCGTTAATAATGGCCTATAAAACAGCAATAAAAAAACAGAGCACCTAGGCAGAGTTGAGCAGGGTACCCCTCGACGGAGATCATTTGCAGTCATGATAAGTTGACAACTGTCAGTGAAACACATTCCTTAAATAATAATTAGACTAAATGGTACTGGAGACTCAGCACCGACACACAAGGCTGACGTCTTCGCTTCTTCTTTCGCCCATGTCTTTTTCAAAATTTATGTTCCACCTTAAACAGAGCAGCAGTTTCATCCTGGCAGTGCCATTAAAGGTGGAACGAAACATTCGAATATAAAGCTATTTTCTGCACTAAAACAGACGGATTATCGCAGGAAGAGTTTGAGCTTTGCTGTGTTATTAAGGACTTGACTTGCCAGGGTAAACTGGTATTATACACACTATCAGAGCTCATCAGTACGACCCATTCAGCGGCCAGCGTTTGTCTATCGAGACTGAATGGCTGTGTGCTTGATTTTATCCACCTGTTAGCAATGAGTGTGGCTGAAACACCTGAACTCAATAATTAGGAGGGGTGTCCAAATACATGTGTCTATATTTAGTACACCTTTTATTTTATATCATTTTTAGACTGACGAGAGATTTTTATGCAGCAACAGAATTGTTAGAATCATTTATCTGAAGTATGTGTGGTGAGCTGGGGAATACAACCACACCATTCACAAAAAGCATGTACACAGCAGCACAGACCCTCCAACACACCTGTGCCCCTCTGAGTAACCCCAGTTTTGTGAAATCTGTGGAGACTGGTTGAGGGTACGTGTGTGCGTGAGCTGTGGACTGGGACAGCGTATTCGGCGCAGGCGAGGCAGCGCAGGGCTAAATGAGGCAGAAGTCCAATGTGCAGCAGCGTAGCACACCAGGGCCTTTTATGCAATGACTGGAAAACCTCCAGAGATGTGGAAGAGATCTAATTTGCTCAGCTGCCACACAGACGCTCTAATAATGCTGGGACGGTGTTAAAACCAGGCTGAATGCTCAGGCACTTCCACAAGCTGCACTGGAGCCAAGTGCCGACCAGTTCTGGTACAGTGCTGAAAGGATTAGACACAGAATGACTAGAACACAGCAGATACTGCTAAAGTTCAGCTCCTCACTGCTGGGCTTTAGTTACACTTAGGGCATCATATGCCTTCAAATAGGGGGGCAATTATTTATTATCACCCACCCCTAATTCTTCAGTGATATGAAGCTGAAGTCAGATATTCTCCAGCTTCTTGTTCAAATTTTCCCGTTCCACCTTAAATGGAGCAGCAGCTACATTCTGGCACTTCAGGCGTCAGAACTGCTGGACTATTTAAGGTGGAATGGGTAATTTGGCTACTTAGCTACCAAGACATCAGCACACTATTAGCGATTTTTTATGCTTGTTATGAGCAATTTATATCAGGGCTGCACAATACATCATACTTTCAGAGTTATCGTGATATGATTTTGCACAAAAACCACATTATTAAGGGCTGTGATGTCAGAACACATCAAATTACAGTGCCAGATTAATGTGCTTGACCAACAAGAGTTTCCCTACACTGGGTTTGCTCTCTCACCCTATTCTGCTAACTTCTAGCCTGTAAAATGCTTCAAACATCATGACTGTTCTCAGAGCGGCAGTGTACTTCAAACAACAGAAATGAGCAAAATCGAACTACCCTCAAACAAACATCTTCCACCTTCAACACCTCCACACCTCCGGACACCAGCTCCGTGCAGTGACGCAGGCAACTATATGAAACAATGTGCTTTTATGATTTCTGTTATTTGCTTAAACTCAGTTATATTTCTGTTTACACACACATAATTCATGTTTGAAAGGCAGCAGCAGGTGTAAACTCATACGTCCCCCTTTCGACCTGTTGCTGCGACTGGGCCCGGGACGAGAGAAAGAGTATCTTTCCCTCAAAGCCATAAATATTAGCGATTCATTTCGATGTGGATAAACACCATATGGGAAGTGTACCAACACTTTCCTGTCCTCTGGATCTTTTGTCCTCTGTCTGCAGGAAGGAGCGTGGCTTGTAAGTATTGACATTGAGATCGCCTTTCACCGGACAGCTCGATACATGAGCATCCTCCATTTCCTGTCTATGACACACCGGTGGCGGTTTCTGCAGTCTCTTTATTTTATGCTTTTACTTACGCGCACACACACACACACACACACCTTTCCCTGACAGCTGCTAGGCAGAAAGATTTAACCCAAATGGATTTAGCACTGAATCCCCTCACGATCATCACTCTAAACAATCAGGCGAGACTAAACAGATTTAATCCACCAAAGATGGGGTTACGAGTCCCGCTTCCACATCCTAAATCTCATGCTTCATTTGGGCAAGTAATGAGAGAACGTGCCACATTCATAAACATTCACTCATCATTTCCACTAGTTATCTAGAACACGCAGCAGCAGCAAAGCTGGAATAACATACATCTCTACTGTAATGCAGTAGGCCTTTCATTTACACAGGAGCCTCAACAACTGAATATAATCTCAAGTTTTCAGTTTTTCCATGAAACTTTGCAGTTTTTCACAGAAACCTGCTGGGTTATTTTTTCCCACACCTCCAAAGTTCAGTCTTAGAAGCTGGTTGATCATTTTCTGAAGTAATCAAACACATTCAGTGGTGTTGAGGTCTGGACTCTGGGGTGGTCAGTCCACTGTTCAGCTTCTTTGTTTGATGTGTCCGTCTCCTTTTCTCAGTGAGGTTCTTCTTCACAGCTACACATCCTTTCAGACCCACAGCGCTGAGTCGTCTTCTCACAGTGGAAGGATGGACAGAAACACCTGTGGATGTTTTCAGATCTGAAGCAGCTTGATTTTCTCCTCTGTCTCAGAGATGAAAGTGCTGTTTATCTGATGGGGGAAGTTTTGGGGTCTACCAGGTCTTCCAGGTGGCTGTTAGGAGCCCCATTTTCTCTTAATCTTTTAATCATTTATTGAACTGCAGTTTAAGAACCTCTGGTTCTTTCTTTCTCTCTTTACTTACTTGGTTTTTCTCTTCCTTGTGTGAGTGGATTATCTTAAATATTAAAAACTTAGTCTGCAGAGATTATTCTGATACACACACACACACACACACACACACATATATATATATATATATATATATATATATATATATATATATATACACACATATATATGTGTGTGTATCAGAATAATCTCCGCATATATATATAGATACATTATATCTTATATCCTATAACAAGAACATCTTTGGACAACCATGAGAAATTTGGGGCTAAATCTGGGTGGGAAAACAAGAGCAAACTGAGTGTGGAATTCTAAACCAATTCAACAGCTCTGGAAGGCAGAGCTCAAAGCCTGGGTGCCCCCCTCGGCCACAAAACATTTCATTTAAGCATGTATTATTAAGCATGTGATATTATGTCTTCAGAAATATCTGCTTTAGCCATTTTAAATGCACATAAGAAATAAATCTGCGAGGCAGCTGAGGTGAGTTTGGGTAGATGTTTGTGAGAATGTTAGTGTTTTGAAGGGTAACAGAGTGTCAGTGAGATGTTTGTGAGAAGCTTTTTGTCGCAGCTGTACATTGTTGGTTGTAAGATTGGAAGGATGGAAGAGTTAAAGTGGCAGTAGAGTGGACAGAATAAAGACTGGACAAATTAAATACTGACAGACATATTACATTTAGTGCTGGAAACATCTGCATACCTTTGTGTTAAATATATGTTTGCTACTTTTTTCGGCGCTTAAAAATAAATAGCTTGCTAGCTGGCATGCCTTAACTGGAAACTGAATAAAAAAAGGAGGGGAGTCTGATTTCTGCTATCTGCAGCACAGAATACAGTCCATTACCATGGACAATTGCACTGTACATAGAAAAGAACAGAAAACTGAAGCACCTGCCTAGTGGCTTCCAGGTTTATCATTTTTCTTTTCTTTTAAATGGAAAGGCATCAACACTACAGTCTGTGGCAACAGACTGTATGCTACAGAGATTAGGCTGAAAATGCTGGAATATAAGGATTTATAATACAGTCTATCAGGCAATTAGTGATCTGTTGACGGAGGAGCTCTGCTTTCTTATGTTCAAAGCTGTGTATAGTGTCATACTCACCCATACTGTTTGTGGAGTTGCACCACATCAGCAGGCAGGCTGTGCAAATCACATTCAGCACCCCAAAGAGCAAGATCTTCCATGACTGCAACACATTCAAACACACAGGGATTTCTCAGGGTCATAATCTATTACTGGATTAATAGTCTATACTTCATAAGGTTGATCATTATTTATATTCCATACTTTATAACCTACTTTAAAGGTACATAAAAACAAAAATCAGGGCTCTACAGTCAAATAAGACTAAAGTGAAGTTTGTTTTGCCACAGAATGACAGAGCTAGGGTTGACATATGCAGCAAATAACCCACCACAATAACCCATAACAAAAATAATCTCCACAGTGTTGGGTCTGTGATGTTGTAGGGCTGCAACAAAACACAGCACACACAAAGATTTTAGATCAAAATTCAGCTTCTGCCAGGATGCTAAGATTGAATCTGGACCAAAGCACCTAAACGCATTATTTAAAACCATTTTTATTACCAACATGTGTTTTTGCTTGTAAAAGCGCCACTTATCAATCTAAATAAACACTAATAAACATCAATACAGTCAAAAATAACATTCATTTCATGTTTTCAAAAGAGCAGCTGATCTTGTGAGCTAGTCTGTAGAACAAATTTGGTTCTACGTTTCTCTTGGACGCCTCCAGACATCACAGATGTATTAAATTCCATCCGCAGCACATTTGATTTAACATAAGTACTGAACAGCCAAACCAGGTATTGGGCAATCGCTACAAATAATACTGGATTTCTTCGATGAGAGTTGAGAAATGATTAAATGAACACACTGACATACATAAAGTACCAAGTTATTCTATGAATGTATTTATTGTAATATTAGTGTTTTTCTGAGCTATTAAACACTTACTTCCCAGATAAACAACTTTTTATTTAATTCTTCTGCACTGTAACGTATAAGTAAAGGAACTGTGTTCTGATTGGCTCTCAGAGCTGAAACACTCTATAGAGCTTCTATATGAATGGGTGGAAGGATTTTGTGCCAGTTTTCATAGCATTGCAAAAACAATTAGTTCAAAACAACTTAACTTTTGCAGCTTAGTTTCAATATATCGCCGCTGGTGGAACAAAAGCTTGTATCACCAAAATGGTAACGATTTTCAGGATAAGGAAAAGCACTTAAATTGAAATAGAAGCAAATTTATAAATATATCTATCCAAGTAATTCTGGACCATCTCTATTGGTTTATTTATCATGAAATTTGAACACAATGCAACGATTAATTGGAGTAACTGGAGTTTTTAAATCACAAAATCGCCTAAATTTCAAACACCAAAATGGAGATTCAAGGTTTTTGCACGACAGAGACGACACACGGACTGTAAAGACAGGCAAAAAATACGTTTTAAAACGTATTACAATATTTATACATGATCTCAAACACTTTTATTTAAAAAAAATTAAGGAAAACGTATTTAAAATGGTTCTTTACATTCACACGCCTCATTTACAAAAACTGGTCATTCGCTTTAGGGAACCACAAGTGGTTCTCCTGCCGCATCACTCCAAAGAACCCTTGCTGGCACCTTTATTTTTAAGAGTGCCTGGTTTCAGGTGCATGAGGCCAACAGAGGCAGCTCACCAGTGGCTCACCTTGGCACTGTGCTGAAAAGGGGCTATCGCTACACATTCAAACGCATAAAGGTTGAGGAGGGGACACACTAATGATCTCGAACCAATCCTTAGGCTGTCGCGTTGAATCAGAGTCAGCCGCATTCCTCTGAGTGCTGTGAAGTCCACAATTACGGGGCTTTGTGTTGTTATGACAGCAATAGGGCACCAAGTGACAGGCCCGGCCGTGGACGGAGATGGGAGCTGAAGTGTGTGTGTGTGGGCCTGTGGCGGTGTCTGCCCGCGTTTGACTGTGTGTCTCTGTGTGTAAACAGAGAGACAGCGCGTTGCCCGACATCAGTTTTTCCCCCACAGCACTGCCCACCCCCTCCTCAGGGAGGGAGGGCGCAGAATTCAAAGACTGACCCCACCCGGACAGCAGGGGCACTGCACGAGACTCACCGTTTACAGTGACCTCATCAGGGAGCGTGGATGAAAACATGGAGAAATTGCTTAGGTTTATAGTTTTCAAACAGTATCTGTGAGCAGTAAAGATGGCAAGTCGGTATTGATTAGTATTGGACCAATATAAAATCTAAAAATCTTACACTGGCTGTGTTTACATGCAAAGATTTTTGCCAATCTGATTGAATATATTCCAATTCCAGATTAAGACTGAGGTGTTTATATTCTCACTCTACTCAACAATCTGACGTTTACATGCTCACTACAAGTAATCAGATCTGACGTTACCATGACAACCAGCATCACGTGAGGTCCAGTCAGAGTGAGATGAGCAGCAGTGAGCAGTGATTGTGTTTTTAATGACTTTAAAATGATGTCAGACTCAGGAAAACGTCCTTCACATGTCCTTATTAAAGAAGGCCGAGAGGAAGAAGTCGTGTTCTGAGACACATAAGCTGGACGTCCGTCCCACCGCCGTCTTTTAAAGGTCAGAGCATAAACTTCGTCTCCTCTGCAGACCAGTTTCTGCTCCCGCCATGTTGAACGGTATAAACTTTCACTATGACGTGACGAACATGATCAGAACGGACTTAAACTTTCCGACTGGGAATGTAATCAGATACAGGCGTTTACACGGATATTATTCTTCTATTTAACGGATTATTTACAGGATTACCCACCTCGTTCAGTCAGATAGAAACTGTATTCCGAATAGCCTCAATCGGACTAGTCTATTCCAACTGAGGTGTTTACATTGTATTCCGATTGAGCTGTTGTCCGATGGTGCGATGTTAACCCTGTATTTCTTCCTATGGGGTAGCAGAGCGTCTCATACTTGAGGTTTCAAGGTTTTATTGGTATCAAAAAAGAAAAAGTGGTACCGTGTCACCTGTAACAGCAGTTATCTTGAGTTATGCCATATACCAAGCCTTCTGTGCTTTAAAGGAAATACGCCACTGTTCCTTAACAATAACCACGCATTTCTCCTAATTACTTAAGAGAACAGAAAACCTGTTGACTCAAAACACACTGACTAACTGTAACAGGGTCTGAATAGGCCTGATGGTGGTGCTGGGCGGGGTATTCTTATTAGTGATGCACCCAAATGATTGTAGAATTTCTGGCAGAAACTGAAGTAGGAGAGTGAAGGAAATAAACACTCACTGAAATTATTTGTAAAGTCTTTTTTTTGACACTTCTTTGTTATTTTCGGTCACAATCTTTGGCCATTTTTCTCATTCTCATGTTATATGAGGTGTGCCCTTGTTTCAACATAAAAATAAAAAATAAATGAAACAAAATGGTAATTTGAAATTGTTAAAATTGGACAGAATTAACTGGGAGGCGCAATACAAGTCCATTGTGAGTCAGTATGTTTCCTGTTCTTTTCTACATCACAGGAAATTACTGCCCATAGTAAATCAGCCATACGTTACAGAAGCAGCAGATAAAGCTTAGCCTGAAAAAATGCCTTCAGCTGGGTCTCATCTACAGCATCTGTACAGTAAGAATGTGTGAGTAAGTGTACTTTGACCTAACAGAGCAGCGAGATAAGCTGATGACGGCTGTTTTCACAAGACCTTTTCTTCAACCAAGTCCTTTTCTCTACCATTTCTCTTGCTTTTTTAGACAAAGACCCCTTTCAGCACTTATTCTGTCCATTTACCTCACATTCTAGCTGTTCCACCCCAACACTGAGGACCTACACTTTCTCTAAAGGCCTCGCAGATTTGCTGGGACAACTCAGTAAAAGGTCATCCCACACAAAACCAGTCTGGCAGATGGACCATTTGCTGGTGCATCGTTTATCCCAAAGCTGCTTAGCCCTGGACAGGTCAATGGAAAACCAGGCTTGTGCTCCCAGTGACTCCCAACCTCAGGGATGAGTGGATGAGGCAAGTGTAGCTGGCAGATGGAACAGGAGCCTGTAATTTCTATGGAGATGATTGAACAGCGTATAACCCCAATACTCTTCGACGAACATTTGCCCACACAAATGTCAGCGATAACATCCTTGAATACAATTAATACAAATTATAATATTAATTGAGAGAAACTACAGAACCGGTTCTAAAAATCCAATTTACACGACTTTCCACTTAATTAAACTCCAAAGTCTGATTGTCATGCTGTGTCCTAAACCACCTCAGGCCCCCAGTGTCATAACCTGTTTGCCACAAAGTCTCAAAAAAGCCACTCTACTGTTGACGATTTACCTAAAGAACACTGAAGTCTTCTAGGAAGGAGGTTTGAATCTGATTAAATCTGTTCGCATTCAGTCTGTTTTTGTTGCTGGGCTGAGTAAACAGCTTAAACTTCGATAATGAATCAGATCTGAGGAAGCGAAGTCGAGCAGCTGGCGTTGGAGTAACCTGTTCAGTGGTGTCTGCAGCCTCTTAGCTAGGCTAATGCCAGCGGGCTCCTCCGTCCTAGTTACATTAATGGCCTTTAGATCCAAACACCCCAGTGCAGGTAACCACCCGGTCCTTTTCTTGTTGGAAGTGCACATGATTAAAAACTCACTCCAGAGAGAAGGTTCTGTAGTGTTCTGAGCTGTGGCCTTCTGGGCTAAGCTAACACTGGCGTAGTTAGCACGGTACCAGTCTCCTGATCCCGACCCCTCTCCCAGTCCCGGGAAAAATTTCATTTACAGATCCCACCTTGAACTCTGTTTGCTCCCTAATCTACACGGTGTAATCCAATCCTGGTTTGTTTGTAAAGCAGGACCCCGGTGTTGAGCAAAAGTAGATTAGAAACAAACCCCCACTCCCGCGCTCTGTGATATAACCCACCCAGCCATCGGCAACGAAAACCTCCTCAGCCCACCAGTGTTACAACCTGTTTGCTGCAATGTGTCACAAAAAGCCACTCTAGTTGTGCTGATTTGGCTAAAGAGCACTGATGACTTCCGGGAACACAAACTGAGGTTTGAAGGATTAAATCCAACTGCTAGTATTCGGTCTGCTTTCATTGCTGGGTGAGTAAACCGCTTAAACTATAAACCCAAACAATTAATAGCCTCATGTCCCACAAAGCGCAGACAACTCACGAGGTGAGCCAGGTGGGCGTGACCACGCGAGAAACTCACCCTTCGATCCGAGGCAACCAGATTGAACTCTTGAACGAACTTTCCCACGAAGGACTTGTGCTTCTTGCGGAAGGGGTGAATGGTGCCCTGTGAGAATAAACAAGCAAAAGAGGCTTTATAAGCGCCGCGGAGTGCGTGGGCACACTTACATTAAGTTTTATAGGTAAAGCTACAGAACGGCAACACAAATCTATAGGTTTCAGTTTTAAAAAGTCAAAGAAATGCAAATAAAATCATTTTTCAAAGCTCTTTCAAACCAGACGCAGTGCTCAGTATTAACTTCGTACACCCTACACAGCATACAGAAGCGGAAGAGTGGATGTTTATTCATGTCAAACAAAAAATATTAGATCTGTTGTACTCAGTGACTGACTTACGCCATCATTGCTAATACTTATTAAATGTTTCTGCAGCAGATTTGCCAAAATGTCTTTCTGCTAAAACCCTAAATTCATAAAATGCTGGTAAAAAAGCTAAATTTGTGCTCTAGTTTTATTCCACAGCATTTTCAGCATGTCTGACTTTGTTTTTAGATCTACTGTCCTCTTGTTTTTGTTCATCAGGGGTCAAAATTGATAGACGTCTGCTTGAAAAGTTCTGGTTTGAAAGTAATACTTACTAACATAAACCTGCACTAATAGGGGAGGCAAGGAAACAATATTGAGCCCCCCTTGACGAACTAGAACCAGCAGCCTACACAATGCCGCCATCTAGTGTTGAATCTCATTACTGCACAGGCAGCCCAAAGGCCTGCACTCTAAAACAGGGGTGTCAAACTCAACCAATAAAAGGGCCATATTAAAAAAATCTCAGCAAATCCGTGGGCAGCTGTGTTTTATTTAATTTTTATTTAACGTTTTGCCATGACCTGATTTTGTTTATTAAAATATGCCAAAACTGCAACAGCAAAATAGGCACTGAATCCTTATTCAAACACAACTCTAAATAAAAATCTACTGTTTTCAGTAGTTTTCTTTTTTAAGAAAAGAAGCTGCTGAAGACTGTAGCGCATTTCAGGGTGAAACGGGCTAATAATATTAGAAAATTAAATTAATTTCATGGGCCAAATTAGACTGTGCCATGGGCCTGACTTGGCCTGCGGGCCTTGCGTTTGACACACGGGCTCTAAAACATGCTCCAACACCTGTTTTATCACAACAGACAACTCAATTCAAGACTTTCAACAGACGTCATCTGCACTGACACTACAGAACAGGACAAAGAAAAATCTCCACAACACTCTTATTCTCTGTTACGGTACTGTAATATTAAAATTTCACAAAATACGGAACGGCTTTGTAATTTAAGGTGCACCAAGTGTTGGTCGGCACAGTCCACTGTCCCGTCACAGTAACCCCAAATAACGGCAGACTTTTGTGTTTTCCCTGCTAACACGTCTAATTCAGTCAATGACTTTAAGCTGCATGAGTTATATGAATAATATGGTTAGTAAACCTCATTAGAGATAAGCCAAGAGATAAGCCTGTTGTATTAGAGCACAGCTGATATGCTGAAACAATAAATCATAAAAACCCCTCTTTCTTATCAGCAAATACTAAACATCCATCAAACAGGGGTGTCTTTTATCAGTGTCATAAAAAGGATAGTTTTAATTCTTAGCCTACCACCTAAATGGGTCTTTATACATGCTGTGTACTGTGTGCTCAAGTTTCTGGTATATTTTAAATGCAAGGCTACAGAGTGGCCACACAGATTTACAGGTTTAAAGTTTTCATTTTTTAAAATGAAAAATAGAAATACAGACAAAATCGTTTTCAAAACTCAAGCCAATCAGACTCCGCGATCAGTACTTACTCCATACACCCTAAACATTGTACTGCACTTATGTATTGTATTGTATTGCACTGCTCTGTGTTTAACTCTGTTCCTTTTTCTCTAGGTGTCTATAATGACTTTCTGATTCTAGCAGTATCTGAGCTCAGGACTGGCTTTCTCTCTAACCTATTGGTAACTAGCGAAGATACTTTCTCTGGATAGACAAAGCACTTTTTGTAAGTCGCTCTGGATAAGAGCGTCTGCTAAATGCTTTAAATGTGAACAGCACACAAACACGTAAGAGTGAAGACACTTTGGTAACACTTTACTGTAGAGTTCATAAGGCTACATGACACCCACATAAGGCTGTCATGACAACTGATATAACTGATATGTAATTGTTCATAAATGCTTATTCCTTTAGGCACCATCTGTCATGAAGGCTTTTTCGCTAACTTTCACCAAAATTGGCCAATGTAACCTTTATAGCGAATGACGCCTACTGGAATAAACGTATCACTACAGAATATCAGTATATCTGATGTGCGGCACTGTATTTTGTCTTTAGACGCCCCTTCGGCTTCTCAAGACGTTCGATATCATGTTAACGCCTTCAGAACCTTCAGAGTGTAATATATTTGCTGTTGCATGGCAGAGCAAATCCAAACCGCAGACTATAAAGAACTTACCAGAACATAGGTGTCTGTTTCCTGCTTCTTCCGGTGTATAGGTGTGTCTGTAAACAAACAACAAAGAAAAACTGTCCATACTATTCAACACGTAGACCTGGGGCTGCACAAAAACTGTGATTTCAATTAGTCACTCAACGCAACCCGATTCAAGAACAGGGTTGACTCTGTAGACCTCTGAAAACTTCCACAAATATACCTAATTTATGTTATATTTATTCTGAATATGATGTTTTTATAAGGCTCTCTATAAACTGCCCTTGTTGTGTACGTTTCTGTTTCGCCAAAGCCGACTGCAGTTATTTTGTTTCTTAGCAATGCATACAGACATCACAACCATATTAGTGTCGGCAGATCTATATCAGCACCTGATAGACGTTTCAACGTGACCAACACATCAAACGGATATTTGATATATTTAATGTACTGTGGGAGAGCAGAGTGTTTGTCATTAACTGCTGACATTTTATTCAATAGTCCATCTGTTTCTCTGCATACTTTGTTACCCTGTTCTTCAATGGTCAGGACCCCCATGGACCCTCACAGAGTGTGTTGTGCTGGTCTGAGTGGATCAGACACAGCAGTCCTGCTGAAGTCTTTAAACACCTCAGTGTCACTGCTGGACTGAGAATAGTCCACCAACCAAAAATATCCAGCCAACAGCGTCCTGTGACCACTGATGAAGGACTAGAGGATGACCAACACAAACTGTGCAGCAGCAGATGAGCTATCGTCTCTGACTTTACATCTACAAGGTGGACCTACAAGGTAGGAGTGTCTAATAGAGTGGACAGTGAGTGGACACAGAGTTTAAACACTCCAGCGCAACACACACTAACACACCACCACCACGTCAGTGTTACTGCAGTTCTGAGAATGATCCACCACCCAAATAGTACCTGCTCTGTGAAGGTCCATGGGGGTCCTGCCCACTGAAGAACAGGGTAAAAGGGGGCTAACAAAGTATGCAGAGAAACAGATGGACTACAGTCTGTAACTGTAGAACTACAAAGTCAAACTATGTGGTCAATGGAGCTGATAAAGTGGACAATGAGAGGAGATTTAATGTCAAACTATCTGCACAGTTTTCATATGATTAAAAACAGGGATACAAAGCTGAACTCAAACGTTAGACCTACACAGATCTACAATATCAGGTGTTATGATTGAAGTTTTGCTCTACAGGTAACTCAGTTAGCGTTAGCAAGTAGCTAAACAAGCCATGTATCATAACACAGAGCTAGCTAGCTATCCCGCAGCTCTGACGTGGTAAACAGTGTAAACAGTGTAAACAGTCACTTCGAAACGATGTTTAAATTCCCCAAAAACAGACTAAAACACGACTATTCACAGTTACAGCCAGTGAGTTCAGTGTTTAGCCGGGTTGACCGCTTAGCCGCTCGAAGCTGAAGTCAGCTTCATATTCGAATTTCCATGTTCCACCTTAAATGCCGTAGCAGTACATGTAACTGCTGCACCATTTAAGGTGGAACGGGAAAATTCGACCAAGAAGCGTTTAAAGAAATGTCAGGCGGCTCGGTTAGCAGCTGCGCTCCTTCCATACCCGAGTCCTGGAAGTTAATGACATCCACCGCCACCATGTCAGGCTTGTCTACGACTCCGACTTTCCTCTCCGTTACGCCGGACGGCACCACGTCCGGCTTCGGGCCCAGCTTCCTCGGATAAAAGTCAGAACCATTGTGGAACGAGAGCCCCGCTGGAGACGTGGACATACCGTCCATCGCCATGTTTTCGGCAGGGACTTCCGCTTCTTCTTTCCCCGCTCTGCGTTTACTCACAGGCTACATCGCGGCACGTTACCACCACCTACCGCTGCCGGAGAGTCTGTGGAGAGAAGCGACGCTCAGTTGTGTCTTCTCGCTTTGTCTGACGCTAGAGGGCGCTGCCGAGCCAGTCCAGAATGAATAGGTTCATATGGAGAATTTGAGTTTGTAAGTGCTTAAAAAGTTGATACAGAAGAATGCATTCATTTCCTGAACACAGAGCAGGATAAAACATTTTAACACTGCTGCTATATTTCTGAGTGCTTTTGAACTCCAGTTATAGGAGTTTATAATGGTGCCTGCTCAGCTCGCCAGCAAATCAGCAGAAACAGTAATGCCAACCAAGCAGCACTCATTAACAGAAATGCCAACCAAGCAGCACTCATTAACAGAAATGCCAACCAAGCAGCACTCATTAACAGAAATGCCAACCAATCAGCACTCAGTAACAGTAATGCCAACCAAGCAGCACTCATTAACAGAAATGCCAACCAATCAGCACTCAGTAACAGTAATGCCAACCAAGCAGCACTCATTAACAGAAATGCCAACCAAGCAGCACTCATTAACAGAAATGCCAACCAATCAGCACTCAGTAACAGTAATGCCAACCAAGCAGCACTCATTAACAGAAATGCCAACCAATCAGCACTCAGTAACAGTAATGCCAGCCAATCAGCAGGAACAGTAATGCCAACCAAGAAGCACTCATTAACAGAAATGCCAACCAATCAGCACTCAGTAACAGTAATGCCAACCAATCAGCACTCATTAACAGAAATGCCAACCAATCAGCACTCATTAACAGAAATGCCAACCAATCAGCACTCAGTAACAGTAATGCCAGCCAATCAGCAGGAACAGTAATGCCAACCAAGCAGCACTCATTAACAGAAATGCCAACCAATCATCACTCAGTAACAGTAATGCCAACCAATCAGCACTCAGTAACAGTAATGCCAACCAAGCAGCACTCATTAACAGAAATGCCAACCAATCATCACTCAGTAACAGTAATGCCAACCAAGCAGCACACAGTAGCAGTAACAGTAATGCCAACCAATCAGCACTCAGAAACAGTAATGCCAACCAAGAAGCACTCAGTAGTAGTAACAGTAATGCCAACCAATTAGCACTCATTAACAGTAATGCCAACCAATCAGCACTCAGTAACAGTAATGCCAGCCAATCAGCACTAAGTAGCAGTAACAGTAATGCCAACCAAGCAGCACTCAGTAACAGTAATGCCAACCAATCAACACTCAGTAACTGTAATGCCAACCAATCAGCACTCAGTAACAGTAATGCCAACCAATCAGCACTCAGTAACAGTAATGCCAACCAATCAGCACTCAGTAGCAGTAATGCCAACCAATCAGCACTCAGTAACAGTAATGCCAACCAATCAACACTCAGTAACAGTAATGCCAACCAATCAACACTCAGTAACTGTAATGCCAACCAATCAGCACTCAGTAACAGTAATGCCAACCAATCAACACTCAGTAACAGTAATGGTAACCAATCAACACTCAGTAGCTGTAATGCCAACCAATCAACACTCAGTAGCAGTAATGCTAACCAATCAGCACTCAGTAGCAGTAATATTAACCAATCAGCACTCAGTAGCAGTAATATTAACCAATCAGCACTCAGTGGAAGTAATATTAACTAATCAGCACTCAGTAGCAGTAACGCTTACCAATCAGTAGCAGTAATGCTAACTGATTTATTATTTAATTAGATTAATCATCTCCTATTTGGAGTTAAGTCCCTCATATTTGGAGTTAAGTCTCTCCTATTCATAGTTAAGTCCCTCCTATTCGATGTTGAGTCCCTCCTATTTGGGGTTAAATTTCTCCTATCTGGGGTCAAGTACCTCCTATTCTGAGTTAAATCTCTCCTGTTTGGATTTAAGTCTCTTCTATTTAGAGATAAGTCCCTCCTATTCAGAGTTAAGTCCCTCCTATTTGGAGTTAAGTCTCTCCTATTTGGATTTAAGTCTCTCCTATTTATAGTTAAGTCTCTACTATTTGGAGTTAAGTCTTTCCTATTTGGAGTTAAGTCTCTCCTATATGGGGTTAAGTCTCTGTAATATGGGGTTAAGTCTCTCCTATTCAGAGTTAAGTCTCTCTTATTTGAAGTTAAGTCTCTCCTATATGGGGTTAAGTCTCTCCAATTTGGAGTTAAGTCTCTCCTATATGGGGTTAAGTCCCTCCTATTTGGAGCTAAGTTTCTCCTATATAGTGTTAAATTTCTCCTATTTATAGTTAAGTCTCTCCTATTTGGATTTAAGTCTCTCCTATTTATAGTTAAGTCTCTACTATTTGGAGTTAAGTCTTTCCTATTTGGAGTTAAGTCTCTCCTATATGGGGTTAAGTCTCTGTAATATGGGGTTAAGTCTCTCCTATTCAGAGTTAAGTCTCTCTTATTTGAAGTTAAGTCTCTCCTATATGGGGTTAAGTCTCTCCAATTTGGAGTTAAGTCTCTCCTATATGGGGTTAAGTCCCTCCTATTTGGAGCTAAGTTTCTCCTATATAGTGTTAAATATCTCCTATTTGGAGTTAAGTCTCTCCTATTTGGGGTGAAGTTTCTCCTATATGGGGTTAAGTCTCTCCTATTTGGAGTTAAGTCTCTCCTATATGGGATTAAGTCTCTCCTATTCGAAAAACTTAATTATGCAGACATTTTGAAAAAATACATTTTAAGTACATACATCAAAATTTTACTTTATTTTGTAGACATTCTTCCAAAAGCAGAAAATGATCAACCAACTTGTGTTTTATGTTTATGTTTTTTATCCTTGTTGTGAATTCTGTGTAATTTTGTATTAAATATACATTTTCTGCTTTTTCCTGATACTGTAAAATCAATAACTTGTACTTAAAGCCTGTTTTGACTGGAAGCAAATGAGTGGTAAAATAAATAAAGGCACAGCGCTGTACACACAACAATACGCATTCAGTCACTCAGCTCTGTTTTAGTCCTTTACATTCAGTTCCTTATTCCTCGATTGTGTTTCATTTCGAGGGGTCCCATGTTGCTTCGCCAATTAGCTGGCTGCTAACTCACCCACCATAGCGGTGCTGATGCTTCAGCGGCAACAAATGTTTGTTTTATCATTTCTTCTCCTGGAAAGTCTCTGTTCTAGTGTGGTTCTGCGCTCTTCCTCACATTAACTGAGATCTTCAGAGTCATTAGCGAAAATAATAAAAATGAACTATATTTCATTCACATGACATCTGTAGTACATTTCTGATGATAAAAAAGCCCAGATTTTCAACACAGATTGTTTTCAGTGTTCCTCTTTCTGTCCATGCAAGCTCCAGGTAAGTTTCCACTTATGCTGAGGTTTCTTCACGCTGAGTAACCTGTTCAACAAGCTCTCCTAACCGGTTTTCCTTTTTCATTCATCGCTCACTCCCACAAGTCAAGTAACTACACTGCTGTATAGTAAGAGTGAAAAATGTCCAGTACTAAAAACACTGCACCATTTTCAGAAAGCTTCTCCGACTAGGGGTGCTGATCTAGGATCTGCTGCTTCTGCTTTGAGGAGCTTTGTCAATACAGGCCACTGTATTTGTGTAATAAGTGATCATCTCTATAAGAAAATTCGATTCAGCAAAAATACATAGCGTTCAAATTTAAAGAAAGAAATGAAGTCCATTAAGACATTCATTTCTACCTAAAATGATTTTACTCTTCATATATAAAGGCCAAGATCGCTGTTTAAAGCCGTACTATGTAAGTTTGGGGGATCTGGAGACCTCTCTGGTGGAAATGTGTAATTGCATGCGTCCAGGTCTAAAAAACACCCACCAAATTTGACCCAACACCTCTGATTTGATTATTTCCGGCTTTACAGGGCGACTCACAGACATGTACACACCATTTTAGCTTGTTTTTTTTTTTCTCCTGACTATTTCTTTCAGTATTAACAAAAAACATCTTACATAATGCAGCTTTTAGCTTCACTTTTCATATATTATTATTTCCCAAAGGGTACAGTCATGCAATATCTACACAGTTTAAAGCATGCGTAGTTGCTGTTGATATCTACATACTGTAGTCTTTGTCATGTTTCCTAGAAAAGACAAACTAAGGTAAACTAAACTGTTACTCAACAACAGCTGGTAGTTTCTCTTTACAATGGTTATATTCGTTGCTACCACTAGGTGTCTCTGTTGTCAGAATTAAGATACTTCCAACTTCAGTGCTTTAACATGAGGCAGTCATGTGACTATGCTGACGCTCGTTTTCAGCTAGAATGAGTCCATTTGATTAAAATATGATCAAACTAGATGTTATTCAAAGTAGTTTGACCACATATTTCAATCCAGATCAAGGTTCAAACTACTTGCAAATGAGCTGTAAAGCTGCAAAAGTCACTCTTTGTGAGCCATGGTTCTCTGATAATCTACAAAATTCAACAAAGTACATTGAAAACAGGACGTTTGACGGGACGTTTGTAGGGAAGTCTTGTAACAGCAGCTCACAGATAAACCCCCGAATACATGGACACCATTTTCCAATGAGAGCCTGCCGAATAGCTCCAGTCAAAACACATCACATCATGTCACCATCTTGCAGCGTGCTGTCTTTCACTGCTAAGCCTTGTGGTGCAGCTACAAAAACTCAGCAAACCCTCGCTGTTCCATCAGAATCTGTGCTGGCTGTGTCAAAATAAAGCAAACCACGAGGAAAAAGGAGAGCGTCGGAGATATACTGGCTGTAAATGAGGGCCCAGGAAGGTCTGCGGTCCACAAAACTGTGCTTTATGTTGCACGGCATGTGTTTCCATACCAAATGGAGGCGAGTCAGGACAGAGAGAAGGATGTCTATGCCATTTCTATAGTCATGAATGGTCACATTGTCGCACAACTGTTCAGCAAGTGACATTGAGAAACTGCGATGGGGGGTTACTGACTTTGAATGGTGCTTTTCGTCCCTAGTAACCGCATGGA